CTGCCCAGCGGGTCTCAAACCCGTGGGCTCAGGCAATCCACTCACCTCAGCCTCCCAAAGGCGTGAGATTACAGGCTGAGCCACCGAGCCCGGCAGGACCAGTGGATTTTATTATAACAGAGTATAAAAAGTTCACTCACAGGGCTTCATACTACTTGTTGCATTTTAGTGTCATACCAAAGAAAAATATCCACAGTAATCTTAAAAGTTTATTATTAAAATACTCCTCCCTTTCCTTTCTTTTGTGTGTCTGTGTGTTTTGCTTTTTCTTTGTTTATCTGTTTTTGAGTCAGAGTCTCACTCTGTTACCCAGGTTGGAGTGTAGTGGCACATTCATGGCCACCACAGCTCAGGTGATCCTTCTGCCTTAGCCTTCCAAGTAGCTGCATGCCCCACCACACCCAGCTAATTTCTTGACTTATTGTAGAGACGAGGTCTCGCCAAGTTGTCCAGGTTGGTCTCGAACCCATGGGCTCAGGCAATCCTCTCTCCTCCATCTCCCAAAGTGCTGGGATTACAGGCATGAATCACCATGCCTGGCCACTCCTCCCTTTTCAAACTAAACAACAGGGCAACCCCTTCGAGTCCCCTCCCACTGTGGGAGGTTTTCTGTCCTCTCAATAAATCCTGCTTTCTCACACAGACAAAAAAATAAAATTAAATTAAATAAATAAATAAAATAAACATGGTGTGTGAGGCCATATTTTCTTCATATACTTCAAGCAAAACAACCAACTCCAACAACTGAATGCAGAAGCAGCCGGGTTCGGTGGCTCAGCCTGTAATCCCAGCGCTTTGGGAGGCCGAGGTGAGTGGATTGTCTTATCCCATGGGTTCGAGACCCACCTGGGCAACTTGGCGAGACCTCATCTCTACAATAAAACAAAAATTAGCCGGGTGTGGTAGCGCGCACCTGTGGTTCCAGCTACTTGGAAGGCTGAGGCGGAAGGATCGCCAGAGCCCAGCAGGTCGAGGCTGCGGTGGCCGGGAGTGGCCACTGCACTCCAGTCTGGGCGACAGAGTGAGACTCTAACTCAAATAAAATAAATAAATAAAAAGAATGCAGAAGCAGACATGAGGATTCAGCAGTCTTCTATTAGGTCAGATATTAAAGAAATTTGCAAAAATGCAAAACACTACCATTTTCCTAATATTATTGTTTTGGAAAATATGGTTATTTTTCATTAAAATGTTATTTATATTAATATGGAATGGGTTATTTTTTTTTTCTTTTCTTTTTTGAGTTGGGGGTCTCACTCTGTCACTCAGGCTGAAGTGCGGTAGCACAATTATGGCTCACCACAGCCTCGACCTCCTTTCCGCCTCAGCCTCAGAAGTAGCTGGGAATATAGGCATGTGCTACCACGTCCAGCTAATTTTTTAATTTTTTTGAAGAAAAGAGGCCCAGCTATTTTTTTCTTCTTTTTTAGTGAGAAAGAAGGATTTATTGCGAGGACAGAAAATTCCCCTATGGCCGGGCTCGGTGGCTCAACCTATAATCCCAGCACTTGGGAGGCCGAGGTGAGTCGATTACCTGAGCCCAAGGGTTCAAGACCCACCCAGGCAACTTGGCGAGACCTCATCTCTACAATAAACCAAAAATTAGCCGGGTGTGGTAGCGCACTCCTGTAGTTCCGGCTACTGGGAAGACTGAGGTGGAAGGATCACCAGAGTCTAGCAGGTGGAGGCTGCAGTGGCCAGGAACATGTCATTGCACTCCAGGCTGGGTGACAGAGTGAGACTATGACTCAAAAAAAAAAAAGATTATCAACAGGGTGCCTGAATGAAACATACTTGTACACCTAATCCTTAACTGTACCCCACAAAACCATAATAAAAAAATATTGAAAAAAAAAAAAAAAGAGCCAAGCTCAGTGGCTCAGCCTGTAATCCCGTGCCTTTGGGAGGCTGAGGTGAGTGGATTGCCTGAGCCCGCGGGTTCGAGACCCACCTGGGCAGGCGAGACCTCATCTCTACAGTAAAAATCAAAAAATCAGCCGGGCGTGGTAGCGCGCACCTGTAATTCCGGCTACTCGGAAGGCTGAGGCGGAAGGATCACCAGAGCCCAGCAGGTCGAGGCTGCGGTGACCGGGAGCGGCCACTGCACTCCAGTCTGGGCGACAGAGTGAGACTCCAACTCAAAAAAAAACAAAACAAAAAAAAAAGAGTGTAAAGGAGTCCTGAGAGTAAAATTACTGCTCTAGTCATACCAAATTATTTTTAGTTCCTAAATACTACCATGTGATTTTCTACCTTCTAGCCTTTACATATGCTTTTCTGTGCTTTGCAAACTCTCATCAATCTGCCTGGCCAATACCCATTCAATATTCAGGTCTTGTTTAAACATTACTTCCCCCAGAAAGCATTCCCTGACTTTTCAGACTGGATTGGGTGCCCCTCTCACAGTGTAATCTCCAATTTACAATCATTTGACTTAGGATTTTTTTACTTTATGATGGTGGGAAAGGGATACATATTCAATAGAAATTGTACTTTGAGTACTCATACACCCATTCTGTTTTTCACTTTCAGTACAGTATTCAACAAATTACCTGAGATATCCAATCTTTTATTATAAAATAGGCTTTGTGTTAGATGATTTTTCCCAACTGTAGCTTATGTAAGTGTTTTTATCACATTTATGGTAGGCTATGATGTTTGGTAGGCTAGGTGGCATATTTAATATATTTTCAATTTACAATATTTTCAAATTACCATAGGTTTACCAGGACATAATACCATCATAAATCAAGGAGAATCTCTACTCTGTCCTAATCTTTATCATAAACCCGTCCTGCGAATGACCGCTTATTTACATAACTATATTATCCACTAAATTCTTTGTGTACTGGGATCAGGTCATGTTCACAGCTACATCCCCAGGGACTAGCACTGTCTGGCACATACAAGCATTTATGAATATTTATTGATAAAATAAGTAAACATAGCTGGGCTCGGTGGTTCAGCCTGTAATCCCGCGCCTTTGGGAGGCTGAGGTGAGTGGATTGCCTGAGCCTGCGGGTTCGAGACCCGCCTGGGCAACTTGGCAAGACCTCATCTCTACAATAAATAAAAAATGAGCCGGGCGTGGTAGCGCGTGCCTGTAGTTCCAGCTACTTGGAAGGCTGAGGCGGAAGGATCGCCGGAGCCCAGCAGGTCGAGGCTGCGGTGGCCAGGAGCGGCCACTGCACTCCAGTCTGGGCGACAGAGTGAGACTCTGACTCAAAAAAAACAAAATAAAATAAAATAAAAATAAAAAAATAAGTAAATATAATATTTATCACAATAAATGAAAGGTTATTATTTTTATGAGAAAACAAACTCAGAGAAATGATCTGTTCAAATTCATCTAAAATCATAAGCTGAAAAATGCATTCCAAGTCTTTTATCTCCAAAACCCTCACTTTCGGGGGTGGGGTGGGGGTGAGGCAGTTTACCTGAGAGCTAATGGCATACTTCAGATAGGACAGGATAAGAGGATTGGGAGAAGGTCCAATCATGGCCTGCTCCAGCAATGCATCTGCAAGGGGAATAGAAAGTAAAATTGAGTGATTACAACTTTTCTGGGTTTATCCCTCCCATCTTCCCTTCCCACTTCAATTGAGACCTGCCAGGTTGAGAATGTCCCAGGTGGCTCCCTTGGGAAATAATTTCTTCATGTTGATTGCCCATTGGTAGTCACTCCATCGCTCCTTCCAGGCTTGCAAAATGGCTTGCTTCAGGTTCACCACCTTCATAACTTCACTCTGAGGCGGCGGGGCCGGTGACAGCCAACTTTGACGTAAGAGAGATAGAACTAGAGAAGGGATGAGGTTCTGAGGAAAACAACAGAGGAAGGTAGAGTTAATGAGAATGGAGAAAATTTAAGCAAGGCAGAGGAACTAAAAGGAAGAGGGGAAAGGAGACAAGGTAGAAATCCTGTCTTGTTCTTCCCCCCTAAATCATCCTTCCTTGAACTGGGGCACTAAGAAGAGGGTATCAAAGGGGCTAATGCAAAGACTACAGAAGGCAGCAAGGAGTTAAGCCAGTTCTGGTTGCCTAATTACGCCCTTAGCTGTCAGTGCGTCCCTCGGCAGTCACCACTCCAAATCCAAATTTGTCCCCCATTTCTTCCACCTTCCTCAAACCTGTAACTACAATTCCATATTTCCTTTTCATCCCCCGCCACCCAAAATTTAAGCCTACCGGACAATGTAGTTCTAGATCCTAGACAGCGCCATTTTGGCACGTATCAAGGAGCCCATTTCCTATTGGCTGGGAGTCACAAACACGAACCAGTAGAAATGCAGCAAGAGACGCCGCGGTGTCTTCTGGGAACGGTAGTTCCTTGGATTCGCGTCGTATCTGCGCTGGAGAGGAAACAAAGGGGCTAATATAGTCGGCCCGCGACGTTTCTCTCATTTAATACGGAAGGACATTCGGAAGCTGAGGCACTACTGAGACTGAGGGGCTAGAGGGAGCTCGAACGGCTCGCCACCGGGAGTCGCCCATGACGTCATTGTCGTGCGGGCTTCTCCTTCGTGTTCCGACACCCTTTCCTTACCTCTGGTTCGTCGGTGCGACGAGGGTGTGGCGTTCAGCAATGCGTCCTTTCTCTTCCTGGCCTCTTTTTGTTCTCCTAAGACCCTGGGGCTGCCAGAACTTTTCCCACTTCCACACCTGTATTTCAAAAAACGACAATGAGGTGCGGTTAATGGCACACACGTCTCCACCCCTAACTCTCACCTTCCTACCAGAACCTGCTTATATACAGGAGGAAGAAAGAAAGAGACTGAGGTTAAGGTTACCGAAATCAAGGGAAGTCTGAGAAACTGTCGAGGCCAAGAGGGCTAAGGATACATGATGACTAAATGTAATAGCCGGGCTCGGCGGCTCAGCCTGTAATCCCGCGCCTTTGGGAGGCTGAGGTGAGTGGATTGCCTGAGCCTGCGGGTTCGAGACCAGCCCAGGCAACTTGGTGAGACCTTGTCTCTACAATAAATCAAACATTAGCTGGGTGTGGTGGCGCGCACCTGTAGTTTCAGCTACTTGAAAGGCTGAGGCAGAAGGATTGCCTGAGCCCAGCAGGTCTACACTGCAATGGCCGAGAACATACTACTGCATTCCAGCCTGGGCAACAGAGTGAGACTCCAACTCAAAAAAAAAAGGCTGGGCACAGTGGCTCAAGCCTGTGATCCCAGCACTTTGGGAGGCTGAGGCGAGAGGATTGCCTGAGTCCAGGAATTCCAGACCAGCCTGGGCAACTTGGTGAGACCTCGCCTCTACAATAAATAAATAAAAATTAGCAGGGCGAGGTGGCACATAGTTCCAGCTACTTGGAAGACTGAGGCAGAAGGATCACCTGAGCCCAGCAGGCTAAGGCTGCAGTGGCCATGAGCATGCCACTGCACTTCAGCCTGGACAACAGAGTGAGACTCCAAATCAAAAAAAAAGTTAATAAAAGGGGAAATTGGGTGCAGGCTATGTGGGAACTACAAATGTTTTCCTGGAACTCTATAACTTTTTGGGGGGGAGTCTCTGTTGCCCAGGCTGGGGGGTAGTGGCATACTCATGGCCACCCCAGTATCAATTTGCTGGGCTCTGGCGATCCTGCCACCTCAGCCTTCCAAGTAGGTGGAACTACAGGCACGTGCTACCATGCCCAGCTAATTTTTGATGTATTGTAGAGATGAGGTCTCGCCAAATTGCCTGGGCTGGTCTTGAACCCCATGGGCTCGGGCAATCCTCTCACCTCAGCCACCCAAAGTGCTGGGATTATAGGTGTGAGCCACCGTGCCCAACCCTAAAACTTTTTTTTAAAGTGTGTTTATTTAGGTTGGGCTCAATGACTCATGGTTCTAATTCCAGCACTTTGAAAGGCCAAGGTGGGAGAATCACTTGAGCTCAGGAGTTCAAGACCAGCCTGGGCAACATCATGAGACCTCATCTTTACAAAAAATACCTAGAAAAATTAGATGTGGTAACTTTTTATTTTTATATTTTTGAGTTGGAGTCTCACTCTGTTGCCCAGGCTGGAGTGCAGTGGCACATTCACAGCCACCCCAGTGTCGACCTGCTGGGCTCAAGCAATCCTTCCGCCTCAGCCTTCCAAGTAGCCAGAACTACAGGCATGTGCTACCACGCCTGGATAATTTTTTATTTATTATAGAGACAAGGTCTCCTCAAGTTGCCCAGGCTGCCCACAGGCTCAGGCAATCTACTCGCCCCAGTCTCCCAATCCACTCCGCCCCAGGGATTACAGGCTGAGCCACCAAGCCCAGCCCAGAGGTGGTAACTTGAGCCCAGGAAGTTGAGGATCTGGTAGCTGTGATCATTCCACTACACTCTAGCCTGGGTGACAGAGTGAGACCCCCCCCACTCTACTATTTTGAGTTGGAGTCCCACTCTGTCACCCAGGTTGGAGGGTACTGGAATGCTCCCGGCCACCATAGCCTCAGCCTGGTGGGCTCAGGTAATCAATCCTTCAGCCTCAGCCTTCCAAGTAGCTGGAAGTACAGGCAGGCGCCACCATGCCTGGCTAATTTTTTTATTTTTTATTTTTTATTTTTGAGTTGGAGTCTCACTCTGTCACCTAGACTGGAGTG